AAGCTCTTACGTGATAAGTTTTCTTTCTCATGCAGCAGCTTATACGCTAGAAGATTCTTAACTTAGAAGTGACGTCGTGTCGAAGTCTTTGCACTGTAAGTTTTGTCGCGCAAAATTTTATGCATTATCAGTTTTCACATTAGTAGTGGTTATGTCATGCTACATTTTGCGCTAGAATTGCTGTTGCGTAGAGATGATGCCCGTGCGAGGGTGTGCATAAGAGGTTTTGTCTCGTATAATCCTATGCGTTAGAGGTTCTTGCATTAGAAGTGACGTCGCGAGGAAGTTTTATCTTCAGAGCTTTGGTCGTTTGTTGCAAAAATGACGCGTAAAAAGTTTTGTATTAGAAGTTTTGTCGCCTAGAAATTTATGCATGGGAAGCTCTTGCATTAGGAGTAAGTCGCGTAGAAGTGATTCGTGTTGGAAGTCATGTCGTGAAGTTTTGTCGTGGAACCACCCACAACGACGTCGTGCCGAAGGCGTAACATGTTCCAGTTCCTGATTTTCAGTTTCGTTTGTGCTATGCGTCAAGTATGCTACCATAGGCGTTATACAGTGTGCGTCCCAGCCTGGCAAGTTCAGCCACTTACGTGCGAAGGAGGCGGAAACGTGTTCGTGCTATTGGACGTGTCTTGTGGTCCGGTGCCTGTTGCCCCTCCCTTAACTCAGGGTCGGCCAATTAGCATCAAGCCAGTTGGCAGTCAACACAGTATTTGTGCGCCTCGGGTCAGGTAAATCGGGTGAGCAGGTCAGGAGTAGTGGTTATCAAGATTTAAGCTTTTTTTAAGCTAAGCTTACTGCAACTTTTGGGGGTCAAGGGCAGCGCATTAAAGGGAATGCTCCACATTTGTGTGGCGTTTTGAGCTGAAATAGCTATCTTGAGGACATTTTGGTGCAGTTCACGGATATGCCCTTTTTAAGACCCAAAACGATCTCGTTCCTGAGTTACACGCCCGCAAAGTACGAAAAGGCTTATTTACAGCCAACTTCAAAATCGCCTTCTGATTAATGACGCCATAAGATCCCCGTGATAGTACAGGCTGTTTTTTGTTTATGGCCAAAACAGCATGGCCGCTGATACATTCGCAAAGGCGATGATGCTGCACATGTGGTACAGTCCGTTGAAGGTGATTGGCTGTCAGCAAGATTTTACCGCTGAATGCTTATCCCGAACACAAGCGTGAGCAATTTCGGGTTGTGCGACACTCGTCGTGAAGGGGTCATTTTTCCCTATTTCTAGGCCACAGGTCAATGTTATAAAAAAGAACGCCACTGTCTGCAGAGAAGTACGGCACCCAAAAATAGGCACTCTCCCTAAGTTATAAAAAGGAGGACGCGACGGCAAATCTGTCTGTTTTCTCCTGCTAGCGTTTTTGCTTCTTCTAACGTATCTCTTACAGACGGCTTGGTTGGCGCCATGTGTACCGGAGCAAAGAACCTTACATGGGCTTATGGGTTAGCAAGGCATTATGAAATTGGGGAATCATTACAGTAATTTATATATATATATATATATATATATATATCTAAGTTTTTCACACATATGGTAAGACAAGTTCAAATCTTGAGCAAGAAATTGTGTTTTACAAGAAGAAGTTCTTGAGCCACATTACCGTGAACCCCCGTTGGGACTTTGTTTCGAAGGGTGGTCACGGTGAAGTCCGGTGATGTGATTAAAGACCTGTGCGAAAATTATGAGAAAACCTGCAATTTGATAGTCCCGCGAGTTGTGCAAATGTGAGATCACACTTATTTGACAAAATCACACACTTATTCACACTTATTATCACACTTATTTGAGTGTGAATCGGCGGCTTGAAATGCGTGCGATCACTGGTGGTGTGCACCAGTGGCTTGTATTGGTATTGATGTGATGGGGAGTGTGCGTGCGAGGTTCGTTCCTCTGAGAGGGAACATTGTTTTGGTATTCTTCAGTCTACTGACTCCCAATGAAATGTGATATATTGATGCCTGATATATTCATGCTTATTGATACTGATGTCATAGTCACTGCAACTTGCGTGGGATGCTGGGTGCTGGGAAAAGTGGAGAAGTATTGCTGTTGGTTTCTTGGAAAGGACTCAATAATAGGCTTATCATGAGCCTTGTGCGAGGTATTCTTTATGTCTGGCTGCCAGATGCTGCTTGGTTTTGCTGTCGTCACAAACCCATTTCATGACGCCATCAAACAATGACATAATGGGGCCCACTTTCATAGACTTTGAAAATTTGCTACTTAGCGTCGTTTTTTGGACTTTGAAAGCTTACCAATAGTTACAAGGAAGCATTCCCCATCATATCTGATGCCCAACTCAATATCTTCAAATGTGGAACATTCCCTTTAACAGAAATGAAACGTGGTGGATGGGGGCGGCGGAGCGGACAGAACTCTGATAGCGTAAATAAACACTTACCTCCCCGGCACCCAACTGCACGAATGTTGCCACGCTGGCCCATGTCAATAAGAACGGCTCTGATTGGCCGATGGATGTCATGCGCAGCGGTCGAGGTGGCCGTCCGCCTAGCTGGCCGCCATTATGCTTCATATTCACGAGACGGGCCTCCAAATCTAGCCACAGGGCCTCGTCATCACAAAACAGGGCGTCCCGATCCGCAACCGAGGCCATCTGTTGTAAGAAAGGGTCCACCTGTTCTGGAAATGGGACCCCCTGAATATAAAGGATGCCTCCTAACCCAGAACAGCAGGCTCTTTGTTTGTAACGGGGCCCTCCGAGCCAGCAAATGGGCCTCCTTAACATAACATTAGGTGTACTCTTATATAGCATGGGGTACGTTATTCCTAAACTTGACCTCATGATGCAGAAAACGGTCTCTTGCTCTAGAAGAAGTTTTTTTGAGCCCATTACTCTCTCACTCAGCTATGGGGCTTCCTTGATCTTAATTTTGGTAACATCCTGGTAGGTACAATGCCGTAAATTTGGAAAAGGAGCCTCCCAAAAATTTTGAGCGAAAAACATACTCTTATCCCCCGGCCTGTCAGCAGGGGAGGAGCATTCCCCCTGCTCTCCTCCCTCCCAGCCGCGCCGCTCGTCTATGTAGGCACATATTTCTCAAAACGTCTGCTAACACCACTTGGGACAAGTGCTACTGTGGAACTATGCGCCTAACGTGACCTTGATGCTGTATGATTTACTACTGATTCATGCCAGTAGCTTCGATTCTTGACATAGGGGAGAGAAGAGCGGGTTAAAAAGTTTTTACTCTGAGCTCTCTCATGCCATAACAACAGAGGATATGACTAAAATTATTATATCTGCGGACGACTTCAGCGTCATATGCAGCGGTTAAGTTTTGGAGAGCACATCTTCGAGCAAGAATGATGGTGTTGGTGTTGATGATGATGCAGAATGATGCAGAACCGAGCAAAAGTGATGAATGATGGTGATCATGAGCTGTCTACTCAGATGGCTGCTGTGGACCCCTTGAGATGGCGATTAGGCCTCCATGTTGCAGGTGCATCGTATTGCGCCGCCGAGTGTCGTGGTCGTGTGGCCTATGTAGTTACCACTGGGACGGTGCGCACAGTCGCCGGCGTTGCGGCCAGACTGGTACGCTACTTTGGCCGTTTTTGCGCAGACTGGTCTTGGCATAAGTTATTCTTCATGACCATGCTGGTCACTTAGGAGCTCCGGGAGAAGATGGTGAGCTTAATATTGTCTTGAGGCTGAATACGCCGACATTTGTTGGACATGTTTTTCAGATAAAATGTTTTCGTATGATCGAGAACTTGAAGAAGATATTGTACAACAAATATGCTGCAATTTACATCATGTTTTGCATAAAAGAGAGCCTGATTCCTAATTACACGCATATATCTACATATATACATATATATATATATATATATATATATATATATATATATATATATATATATATATATATATATAGTGAATAACCAGAAAGGAAGTGGATGATATCCGGAAAGTTTTTTTCGTGCATGTTCCCTTTTAGCGACTTCCGAGACTTGGCTCCCCCAATGATGTTAAAAATTGACGCCAATGAATACCAGCATCTTAAAAAGAATAAAACAGGTCCAATTTAGTCACTTGACGTGGTAGTAGGCGTCGAAAAATCACTAGTCCTTTCCAGAGCATGCATTATTAGTTCGATAGACAAAACTGGACGCACCGGGTGGTCTGGAGGTAGGCACAATAGTAAGATTGTAAATGTTCAAAAGACAAGATTGCATATAGTAGTCACGCGGGTTCAGTACCCACCACCTACCATCAAAATAAGTAATGTGTAGATGCGAGATTGATTTCACGAGGTCATTACGAGCACACATCGCTACCCCACCATCAGTCTAACCTTTGTGGCTACCAAGGACTGATATATATATATATATATATATATATATATATATATATATATATATATTAAGTCTAATATATATCATCCAATGCATCCGGCTATCAATTCGTTATCAAGGCTAGTAATACAAACCTGCTCAGTTTCAAGTCTAATCACCAAGGCTTGGACGCTTTTTGACGCAGTTCTCAAGCACAAACAAGAGTACGCGCTCAGCACAGCACGCTGAGTGAACACCGACATCGTGATCCAAGTGGTCAAAACTATGGAATCATTTTGACACGGGCTTATATATCCATTCTCAAGCGGGAGCCATGGTTACTTCAGAAGGAGGCATAAGGAGGCAAAGGCATTGTGCGCGGCGTCTTTAACAGAAAACGAACCCACGTGGCGCCTGGGATCTGACCCGCTGCGTGTTACCTATTCGGAGATTAGATTGGCGTGGTAATCTTTATCGGACACAAAAGACGCGGCTCTATATGCAATTTTCAAATTAACGTTCATTTAAATACTTGTCACCCCCTGAACATCTGTCAAGTACAAGTCACCAGCAACACTTACGCTCATAGAGAAATGTTTAACTTCATCAATAGGCAGCCTGTCTAATAGCCTGGTGGACTTGTCAACCCCTAAACATCTGTCAAGTACAGGTCACCAGCAACACTTACCCTCATAGAGAAATGTTTAACTTCATCAATAGGCAGCCTGTCTAATAGCCTGGTGGACTTCTCTTTTTCTCGAATGTGCCTGACGTGGCCACTCTTCAATCCTGTTTCCTTGTACATATCTCCAATGGAGACCAGCATCATGAAGCGTAGTCTAGGGTTCACCAGATCCATACCTGATGAATAGTATCTTGAGGAAAATTAATGCTTATGACCTGGGGTGGTCTTAGGTGAGGGTTATTCTGTCGGTTTTTGTAGATCAGCGAAAGGTCATGAATGAATGCGGTTTCGGGGATGAAAAATCACATTCCTAGCACGGTTATTCAGGACCCACATCGCTGCTTAGCAGTTCTCACGAAACGTCTCGAAACGAAACGAAACGATTTTTCTCGGGCGCGAGATTTCGTGCGCTAGATTTTACTGTCAATGCGCATAAGAGTCTTAGACAGATTCCATGCCCTGCACTATGGATTCTACCGCGTGAGTGCGAGTATATGCGAGGGGGAGGGGGGGGGGTCTGTGTGTGGGAGCAGGTGGGCTTACACGCGCGGTGTTCAAGGCCGATGTTACGAGGTTAAAGGATACTGACGGCCGACTGGTTAAACTCCTTCATTTGAAGAAGATGGATTGCCAGCAGGCCGATCTGAAAAAAACAACATTTGAGGTTACCAGTTTGAAACAAGACAGCAGACGTAGACGTACGGTCACGCCGTGACCGTAATGAGTTTTACGACGTATAGCTCAAGACAGTACCAAAATAAACGGTCGGATATTAGGTTTAGTCGACCACACACATGCGTGGCTTCACGTTATAGGATCACCAAATTGCCTGAGGCTATAACAATAGTCAGGAACGCATGTAGCATCTGATAATAACAAAACATTTCTGCTGATTAGATCCATATATTCATTTGTGTACAATAAACCGATTACATCGACTTGACGTTACATATTGCTTGACCCAACGGACTGTTCACGCGCGTGGTGACGCACGGAACAACATCATCTGACAATATGTCGAGCGGAAAACATCAAAAAGCTGATGGAAGCGGCCTCTGAAACGAACGAAGTGTCGTTCCCGACGTCCCGGCTCGCATCATAGTATCAGCGGATGTAGATACATCATCGGTCATTTCCTCTACTCATTTGTGTGGTACCCGGGAACAAAATAGAATTATATCTGGAGGTTTGGCGTGCATGCTTTGTTTCATCCATGTGCTGAGGGTGCGGTCCAGGAATGTGTGTAAGTGATAGTAGTGAGTGGAGCGTGGAACGTAGAACATTTACAAATGGGTCATAATACCACTTATCAACAGTCACACTTGGACGGTTAACTCGGATGGGGCCGCCACTGTCATGCATCGTACGGCTCCCCACATATTGCTAAAGTGTCTAGCTTTAAACTGCTCCAGGGGCAAACCTCATCGACCTCCACCTCTTTAACGAGGGCAGAGCGCATCCCCCAATAACCATGTAAGATACAGAACACCGCAAAGGAGGCTGCACGCGCTTCCGGAGCACGCGGACGTAGCGCCCTCGCGCGGACCACACGCGCTCTACGGCTCTCACCGGGGAGGGAGGCGTGCGGGCGCGCTCCAAGTCCTCCTCGTCGAGCGAGTCAGCGCGCTTCATGGCCGCCTCGCGCAGCGCCTCGCCCGTGTCTGTCGAGAGCACCTCTGCGGCGTCGTTGGCGTCGGCCGTGCTGTAACGCGCCATGCCGCTGGCGGCCACGTATGCCGATGTGCTCGGGGCGCGCGATACGGCCGACGGCGGGCGCGCTTGTGGCGACGGGTTCAGCATTGTGAACCTCTTCGGGTGCGGTACGTGTGAGCTGATGTGATAGGTGCTGGCCACCTACCATGGGCAGCGGCAGCAACTCTGCTTCTCAGCCAGCAGAAGCTTCACTCGTTGATGTCATATCATACGCTTGGCAGAAGACAGATAAACTAGATTTTCTTGAATCGCGGCCTGCGGATTGCACTCGGTGGTACATGACGTGAAAACATTCTGCGCATTAGATCTAGGAAATAACAGACTGAATGCAATTCAGTGATTTTCTGTTAATGCTTGGGGTTCGTGTTCATCTTCTTCACTGCAGAGTGTTGGTAGAATGTGATATCTAGGCACTTGTAACAACATTCTAGTAGTCACATAAGAAGTGCTCCAGAGCGTGTCCAGTCTGTTATTCATACTTGGCTAGACCGTGATGAGGTCCGTGCCGGACCCAAAAACACACACATCACGCAAGATGTAATGGGATACTCATACAATGTAATAAGCAAGATATCCCAATTCTGTATCATCGAAACTCTCTTACTGCACTCATACGATTTCAGGAGACCGACACAAATTCGCAGTTGTTTGTTGTTTGACACGTGTTGTTATGGTTACCTTGTCCGAGAACCTCTCGAAAAAGGGGAAGTCCCGAAATACAAGAAGTCAAAAAAGCCTACGCCTTCTGCCGAAATGTAGCAGAAGGAATGCGCTGGAACTGCCACTAAGCCGAATAATTCGTAGTGACAGCCCTAAGAGAGTTTGCAGGCTTCCGACCCTGCGGGCGTAGTGGGTACGGTAGGTACTAGTAGATACGTGGTTACTTCGAACACTCCGAACGCTTCAGCTTCGGACCGTGTACTGACTAGAGCTGGCTGCAAATCCAGGGAATTTCAAGGGGTATGGGCAAGCAGCCACGACAGAACAGCAAAGAAACTGGCTCCAGCAAGCACTAGAACAGAGATTAGCATTTTTGCTACGAGAAGAACCGGGAAAATGCCCATGCAAACGTGCCACGTATAATATATAACCGGGGAAATGACAAGTAGTTTCTTCTGCAAAGCGAGGCCCTTGTTTACACGGCGGTGGCTAACCACCGAGCCAACCAGTAGCGGCAAGGCCAGTGCAGTACCACCACTAAACGCTATTAAGATGAAATAAGCATTCAGAACGGCTTTCCGGGACACTGCCTGTGTGAAAAAGTATTTCCCACAGGAATACTAATAACTGTCTGCCAAGGATTGTAGTGACATTTCGCGCAGCTTGTACTAGCGAGGGAGAGCGGGCGAGGCTTATCCGTGCATTGCCAATCACAGTATGACCGGGAAAACCAGGCAGCACGCATCGCCGTGCGTTCAACATGCGCCTGCACACACCAGGCGACCCTTATGCCCTTGTTGAAAAAAAAATGTATTCGTGGCTCACTTCGCAAACTTGCTCAGTTGATGACGATGGCGTAGAAATAATGAATTTGGGATAGATTGCACAATTGAGCTTATCTCAAAGCAAGAGACACGCTCGCGCACACAGTACTACGCACAAACGGTGTCAAGTGTAAAGCTAGAGGGCTTGTGTAGCGTATTATGCCAGTTGCATTTTGTTGTTTGCTGTAAGAATGGATCGTGGCATGCGTCGTAAGGTGGTTGCTCAGGCCAGTCGCTGCCTCAGTTCCCCGACATCGGAATCAGACACGTAGCCTGGGTCTTAACAGGCGACCGCCTGGGGCAGGAGCGACGCAAGTCCCCCAGAGTGCAACTTCCTCAGTGACGCAACTGGCTATTGCGCGTGCCAGTAAGGTAAAGGAGAGTGCGGTGAGTTGCATCAAGACCGATATATATAATGGTCATTTACTCAAAATCTATTCGGCTGATGGCAGTCGTGACTCATTCGGCTGACGCACGGCAGCTCCCTCGAACTTTCACTGCACTTCTGGCCGCAAACGTGCGTGTGGCTTGGGGCGAGCGCGACAAAGTTGCGCTTTGTATATCGTTGAAAATTATAGAGATCGCCGTAAATGTGGTTTAAGGGCTTACGAAATAACTAGACCAATCTGAATATGGTATACTGAGTGGTGGGGAACTGCATGTGTCGTATATACTGCAAAGCATCTGGCGCCGGCTAACCAAGGAAATCGGCGGGGCGCAAACTTGTTTCCAAAATATCAGCCAGTAAATGTTGCATCCGCTTTACATCGGGCAGGTTGCATTTTTTATACAAAAATGCACCAAAAGTACGTCATTGACTAGCGTACTGTCAATAATTGACTGTTATGATGGTGATATCTTACTGCCATTTTATAACAGCTTTGCATTGGCTGCGAAGCGTTTTGCACTCCACTTTTGTTCTTCCAGTCCCGTGTTGTCCTTTGCTACATCCTGCCTGGTAACTGTATTTGCAGTTCAGAGCAGTTCGGTATGGCTGAAGGAAGTCCTTTCTCATTGTAGAGTGAAATGTGCCACATGTCATGAGCTCTCCCGACAGACATGGAAGGGGCAAGCATGAATGACACAACCCCGACCAAAACATTGAACTAGATGAGCTTTCTCGCTGCGCAATGATAAGAAAACCACGGCCTTGGAGAAGCCGTGGCGAACGATGAAAAGATGCTGCAATCAGTCGCGTTACACGCCCTCCAACGTTAGACTAAAATATGTTGTGCCCGAAACGTTGCAAGACAAGCCCATTGCATTACTTAGAGACACGAAAGGGGGCAACAAAACTGTGAAACATCCGCAGCTAATATTTGTTTCTACAGCTGTTCTTCTAGCACCAAGTTGTACTGGGTGACCTGCTTCGTAGGTGGATAGGGTCTTCCCACAGCCTACCGTACCGTATTTACCCAGCGGCCGTCGGCTGGTCGCCTGGTCCCTTCTGAAAATTCGTGCATATGGGCAGATTCAAGTGGTTAGCGGAGACATGGCGCTCGTAAAACGGCATAGAGCTCCTTCATTTGCCATCTGCTGTCTGTAATTTTGTTGCAGCCCCCCACCTCCACCCAGCGGTTCACCCACGGCTTCTAACACTGGATCCGTCCCTATGCAATGAATACATTTGCAGGCTTATGATGATCGGCAGGTTAAAATCATTAATAAAAAATCAGGGGGGGGGGGATTCGGAAGTTCGTCAAGAGGCACATGTAACCTTGCGAGATCCCATACAGGTTTGGGCCCTCTCCAAAAAATCACCGCATTATGGTCAGTTAAGATACTTAGTACACTTTTTATATACGTGGAACCATCTTACCATGTGTAACCGTAGACAACTAGGTGTTCTACGTGTGTACATAAACAGATCTTATTTATTTTTTCCAGATCATAGGGAATCCTGACATTTTGAGGCCAAGTTTTTTGGAAAAAGATTGTTAAATCAACTGAAGTTGGCTTCTAAATTCCACCAAAATCAAGCGCAAACTTGGTTCCTAGCTTATTTACGGTTAACCAGTCGGTTGATGTGATCAGCTGATGGCTGATTACTAATGCAGAGTTTTTGCCCTGTCTGCCTATCATGTTCGACAATTGTGAATACAAATTGATCGGCCCATATCCAACTGCTGTTTTTAAGCTAAGGCATCAAGGCCAACATGTTTGGACCCTGAACGATTGGAAGTGGCCCGACAGGCTGACATATGGGGGGGGGGGGGGGAACCCGGGGGTGAGCACAGGCCCCTCTGAGCAGAGAGCTTACCCGAGACCAGTGTGAATAAATTAATACCCCTGTGCAATCAAGAATGCCGAGGGGGAGGGTAGATTGAGAGAAAGAGCCCCGATAGGACTGAAGGTTCCTCCGCAAACGAGATCAAAGGCAAGGAGCCCTAGATCAATATAGAGGGCCGCTGACCATGGATGGCTCGATTCCTTACCTTGTATGGACCACAGCAACAGCACACAGCCCTCCGAGCAAGTGGAAAGAACCCGAGACCAATATGAAGAGCCGCTGAGAAACTGAATGCATCCCGGCATATGGGGTCCCGGCAAAAACGTTTACAGCCTGTCGGGCGAATTGGCAGAATCCGTGGGGGTCACTGATTGATGAAGAGTGCCCAGGCATGTTAGCAGATATTACCCCAATGGCAGCGTAAGGCCCTATGGGAAAATGCAAGGGGGTGAAGGCAACGTGGAAGGCTCCTTAACGATCGGATTGCCCGTGAAAAAAGGATGTATAGGGCCTGGGCAGCAGCGAACAGCCTCTGGACAACGTAATGAGCCTAAATTGTTCCCCTATCACCACCCTCCCAATCAGCGAAGAGTCAACTTCGTCTGCTTACGGGCCGACATGTTTAAGTGAATCCCAACATATGGGGCACCGGCAAAAGGGTACAGAGCCTTTCTGGCGAATGGGAAGAATATGTGAGGACGGGGGGGGGGGGGGCTGAAGCAACTTCGCTTGCAACTGTTCTTTTCTGTCTGAAGGCCCGAAGGCGTCCAATTTGTTGCTGTTTTGTGTTAAAAAAAAACTGCGTCTGATCCGCCGGCTATGAACCCCTGGGAACCTATGGACCCCTCCGACCCCAGGGGTTGGTGGATCGGTGGACATGGCCCCGTACCCCACCTCCCCCCCCCTCCTTCCCCTCCGCCTCTGGATCCGAGTCTGAAAAATAGAGGAATACGTAATTCATGGTAGAATGGTCGTGCATCCCAATGAAAAATCCCTGCGCACGCCCGTGCTGTTCTCTGTATTTAAAACAAAAAGTTAGAAATGTTTCCAAATGTTAATAATCGTCATATCATATATAATATCATATATAATCAATATATAATGTAATATTAATATATGATATCATATATATGATATGATATGATATGTATCAATATATCATATAACATCAACATATCATATAGCATCCTTCCCATCCTTTTATCGTGCTATTTGCATGAAGGGTGCAGCACAGAGGCATCATTTCCATCACGATGCAAAATATAAAAAATAATGGTGTGTAATTTGGTCTGCACCCCTTGAATCATATGATCATTCCAAGAGCTATATTAATCAGCTTGTTACTGTAACAGAAATGCAATTCTTTTATGACATTTCAATGTTACTTTGCACCCAAAAAAGGTACCAAAAATTAGTATTTGATAGATTGAAAGTTAAGACTAATTTTACAACAAAATTGAAAGATAAACTTACTTGAGCTAATAGCGATAAGTCAAAGCGTTCTGCCTTTTTGGTATATACATTCAGTACGCTATAAAGACGATTAAACAAAAGCCTAGAAACAGTTCTGTTCATATAGCCAACGAGTGCGTTCCGGGTTGAGAATCGCATTGAGCATTGGAGGAATTGATACACTGGTTCGCTGCAGAAAAACATTGTAAGTTGATAGTGTGTGTACAATATGTTTGGAACACTGATCAGGGAGCATTGTGGTGGCATGTGGTCCCAGGACGAAACTGATCATTCAATGACTTATGAAGGCATATAGCTATTTATGAAGTACAATTACATGATCTAAATTTTGAATGACTGCGAATGTACCATCTTGCAGGCATGAAATGCCTCCAGCCATCCTTAGGCCTCTGTGGCATGCGTATGCTACCTGGCAGGCATTAAATGATGTTAAGGTAAGGCCTTGACCTGGTGAAATATGTTGAATTTTTAATTACTTTTCACAGTCACACATTCAAAGAACCTTCTAGGGCAGTTAAAATATGCCACTTTTTGTGACTAGGATCAAGTTATGCTTCACATTTTGTATTCTGTGCTTGCCTTATTTGATATTGAGCCCTTTTTTGAATTGGGGAAAATCAAGCAGGAGATAAAGTTAGCAGCATTGGAAATATGCTGCTCACCTGTGCTTTTTACCAATATTCATAAATTCATTCACCTACCTGGACATACCTTTCTCAGTGTCTCCTTCCTAGCCTATGAATGGCAAAAATGAAACTGGGAGCATTATGAAATCATGTTTTACTAGATATAGGTGTCCCTCAAGGTAGGCATGGTATGAGTTAACAAACCAATGAGAGCAAATTATTATTTTTAAATGATAAAGGAAATTGCAGGACAGGTGATCACAGCCCTGAATTTCCTACCAATTCAGTATTGGCTTTGTGTGATCATAAGATGAAGGACCATACTTTATATACATGCATAAAGTATGGTCCTTACTTTACTTTATTCATCATCATAGATCCTCATTCACCCATCATCATAGCCATCATAATATTGGAACCATGTATACTTCCCTCTGCAGAAGTCGTGCAACAGCTTCATTAGGTTTAAGGCCTGATGTATGTCACATTGGATTGCATTTGGTTAAATCTACCTTCAAATGAAGTTCAGTGAAATATTGAAGAATTTTTTTTGCACTAGATTTATGCATAGTCAGGTCATAGTTTGATGAAATTTTAGCTGATCATGTAATTTTTCTACTTGCTAGCATTTGCTTTTATTCAATGCTGTTCAGCCTAGGCTTGTGGAATAGTGGCTTTATCAAATTGAGGCTGCAAAATGGCTGGAAGGGTTTCATATAATCTACTGAATATTGTCTGCAGCATTTCTTATGTGTCCCAAAAATTTGTGCATGTTGGGGCAGGTGCTAAGCATCTTATTGGCTGGAAAATAGCATAATTTTGGTCCAAAATTTTATGTTTCAATAGTTTTGAGATCAATATGACTGATCTTAATGGCATCATTTTGATGTTTTAAGTAGTCAGTTACCCTATTGTTACTTTAAATAGAAATCACTATCAGGAAATCATCATAGTGACCAGGCTGCTGGTATGCTTGCATTTGAATTAATTGTGCCCTAGTTCCCTGGCTGGAAAGATAATTGGAAAACAACTGAGCCAAGCTTTTATATATGTGTATAGTATGTCTCTCAAGGTCTCCAATAAGTACAAGAAGTGCTTTTCTAAGTTTGGTGTCTCCATTACCGGAATATGTTTTATGAACATTACTTATAGGGAAAGTTGCAAACTTTAAGTGTGTGACAATGATATGGTGGAACAAATATTTTATTTCTCAGTCAGATTCTGTAGCTCACAAAAAGCATTTTTATCAGGTATGAATGTGACATCCAATCTCACAAAACCCCAACTTCTAAGAACCACTAAGGTTTATTTTACTTGCCCCCCACCCCCACCCCTTAAAAAATACACATGCAAGAGAAGGAAACCTTTGCCTCAGTGTGGGCATGTTGACTCCCCTGGATCGGCCGGTTGGAAGTGCAGGCATACTCGTGGCGACCTCTATTCTACGCAGCGGCGGAGTGTGCCGTGATTCCGGCGGTTCAGCTGGCAGCCGTGCCGCCCCGTTCAGAGTGAAGTAAACCTGCTCCTAGTGGAGCATCTAGTTCCGTCCTGGGCCGCCAGATGTCTCCAGAGAACCTGTCGGCGCCCGTAAGGCAACAGGTTCGGCGCTGGCGACTAAGAGCGATGACGTCATCCACTTCCGAAAACTTGCAAATTTGGTCAAAGGGAGAAGTGGTGCACATCGTGGCGCGACCTGTTTTAGGGGCAGCGATCTTGACTGCCTTCTCGTTGATTTGTTCCCCGTCGCGGCACTGCAGTGGTCAGAACACTGGCCTTGGTTTGAAGCGACTTTCTAGCGCGGTGGTCTCGCAAAATGTCACCCAGGGGGTTCGTCGACTGCCGGGCGCGGTGGTTTCGCAAAATGTCGCCGGGTGGGTGCAGCTCCCATCTGTGCCATCAGAGATTTCCGACAACGGCGGAAGATCGTTTTGTCTTCTTGGTTGAGGGTGGTGGTTAGGTGCCTTCGCAACAAAGCCTTCATTTTTATTCTGATAGTATTTTCCGAAAATTGAGGCGACTACAAACATTTGAGGAAAAGCTGTTCTGTCGTCCTTGTACAATGCCTGCCTTTTAACGGCTGTGTTAATGTGTAATAGCGATTGCATGGCAGATGTTCTGTAGTTGTGGAGTTTAGAAAGGGCTGTTTATATTTTACTTTAAGAACCATTTTATGCGGCGAAGACTGCTCGTTTCCGCCCCACAACATGCGTGTTCGCAACATCGTTTACAGCTTACCAGATACACAATACTTGCCGTGGTTTCGTGCAGCGGCGTAAATTGCATCGTTCATTAGAAGGTAACAAATGTGATATTACTCGAATCCAACATAGCAATTTGGCTTAACTTGGCTACCTTCCGCAATCAGTCTGTGACTAAATTAATGCATTCCTCTTGAAAGGCTACTGCATTAAAACTGTTGCCTTCTAGGTAAAGTCGTTTTGCGAGCTTGCAGATGCTCTTTGATACATGCCTTTGCATAGGCGACTGGTTCTAAAAAATATGAGTCAAAAGATGGTGGCAAATATTGTGAGGGGCGATGAACTAATGTAGCGTGCTTTCCGTTGCAACTTTCGGGAGACTTCGCATCAAAGGAGCGAGAAACTCGGGGTGAGAAGGCCTGCAGGGACAGTTGTGCCAGGCGGGGCTGCTCGATCATTGCTACTCCATTCACAGCGGATGGGGGCTTGTCTTCCCCAGCCCTCTATTGTTGTTGTTGACGGCTGAGTTTCCGAGTAACGCGGCGGTCGCGCGCAGACGGTCGATGAGCTCTCAGCAGGCCTGTCCGGCTACTTTGCGGGGCGCAGGAACCGGTTGGCGAAACTACGGGCTTGATTTTATCTCGTTTGGTGGGCGTCATACGATACTGATGCCATCTGAGCATTGGCAGAAACTAGTTTACGTCGGAGTTGCTCACATCATTTGCGTTCGTTCTGCAGAGTGTACCTCCGAACTCCGCGATGACAGTCTTTTCCGCCATACGCTGCCATCGCTGCTAATGCGAATCGGTATGGGCACAAGCGCTTTCATACTGTCATCCGGCCGGTCACCTTTTTGAAGCAATGTCACACGCATGTACGGCTGCTAGACACCCGCGATATCGACATCATTGTATGTAACTAATTCTTTTCCCAATACGAGTCGTTTACTCTGCCGATTTAGTGCATGTGAATGCGTCATGTTTCTATCAGTTCGCAACGCGCCCTTCGTGTATCAAACACTTTCTGATGTTAGCCTTAGGTATTGCTGACATTTTCAATTGCAAAGTACCGTACGTCCAGCCTTTTGCGTTAAACCCTTGTTAACCCCGTTAACCCCGGGAAGGTTTTCACGAGCCATGTTTACGTCTTCCGGCCATCTCAAGGTTGGCAGGTAATATGCAATTTTTTGTCGGTTGTATAACCCCATGTTTATGATAAATTTTATCAAAGATGTAGACAGCTTCCTCCGCGCTGTCCCTTCATGAGGCCGCCGCCCACGGTGTAAAATTACAAAACATGGCTGGCTTAATATATTGCTGAACATAGATAAAAATTTTACATAGGCTGATGCATGCCTGCATGTGTTGTGCATTATGTGTTTTGATTTCCGTCCGTTCGATATATCAGCTTATAGATAAGACAGTATTTAGCTATCTACATGATGGCCCTGGAAAATTTCATTTTTCAAGTTATCAGTTCTACTTGACAACTAACTTAGATCAGCTTGTATTTAACAATTGTCCGTATGTAACAAGAATGTACATAAACGAGTTAGATAAACGACAAAAAACGTTTTCTCAATGCGTAAACATGTGAGTTCACAAGCCCCATTATAACAGAATAGCATACGTATGAAATGGCTGCTCTCGTGCCACGAAATATAAACCTTAATTTTGTGAGTCGCTTCTTTCGCACGCCGAAACACCCGCCACCTTCACGCTTACCGCCACAGGAAGATGTAGCACCTTGGCCCGCTTTTGCGGCGAGATCGCTGACGCTGTTCAGCGCGCCCGGACAGAATGTGAGCTGGCTCGGCCCCGAGCCTTTGTTTACCGGATCTGCGATTTTGAACCTCCGACCACCTCAGGTGCCTTACCTACGACCTCTTCGTCCCATCTATACGTGTCGAAAATGGTGAAATTCGATGCTCTGCGACTGATTCTGAGCTCTTTGTGCGGAACATCTTTGTGGCAGGGCTCACTTGTGTGAGACATGAATTTGAATGATCGTGGCCTTTGGTATGGGAATTCAGAGTTAAGGTCACGCAGGTCAGGCAAAAAGCCGTCAAATAAGAATCCGGTAAGAATATCATGAAAGGGAGTGACCAAGATGGGTCCCGAGTGAAATGGCAAGACTTTAAATCCTCCCAGATTACTGTTGGTAAACTTGGGCATTTCACAGTCCACCGATGTAGTCAAGAACGGGACGATTGCACATGTGATATTATCCAGAGGTCCTTTGTCATGGGGAAAGGGGAACGGCTTCAGTTGACTTCACACTGCCCATCGGAGGTACCTGGCGGCGTGCTATGACTTTTGCCGGTTTTTCCTGCAGACTCTGAAGCTGACGCAGACGCTGCAGACAGCTGAGTTTGGTTTGACCTGATTTGACCCGACATGTAGGTCAGCCACCAGACGCACTGCAAAATGGCCTGAGTAAAAATAGCATATCACTGGGTTACCTCGTAGCTATCGAATGTTTTCCGCAGACTGTCTGGTTTGGAATCAGCAGTGGGCAATCTTGCTCCGTCGGATGCGGGGAAATATTGAGCCACAGGGACCGTGAAGGCATAGGCCAAGTCAATGGGACTTTGTGCTTCAAAATACACTATGAGCTGCATTTTACTGTCAGCGCATGAAAGGCTTTGAATTCTTCGAAAATCTCAGCCTACATCACAGACCCCTGAGCTGTCGTGCGCGGCAGCAGGGCGCTGCGACACTGACGTTAGGTGTAAGAGAACAGTTTAGGGTGGGGGATCGAATGTCATGGCCTTCTCAAACATCCCAGAAACCACTGACGGATACTGTAGGAGTGTGGGCCGAAAGGCGCCCCCGTACGAGAATGTTGTCGATGTGCACTTGTACTTTGAACCTCGCTTTCTCTACGGAATACCGGATACGAATGGAGAACGTTCATAAGCCCATGCATGTCCCGCGTCACCTGTGTAACGTTTGTGGTGGCCCCCAGAGCCGCCATGGGGCAGCAGCAGAGTGGACGCGGCGCCCACCGTGTCACCTGTGTAACGTTTGTGGCGGGCCCCCAGAGCCGCCATGGGGCAGCAGCAGAGTGGACGCGGCGCCCACCGCGTCACCTGTGTAACGTTTGTGGCGGGCCCCCAGAGCCGCCATGGGGCAGCAGCAGAGTGGACGCAGCGCCCACCGTGTCACCTGTGTAACGTTTGTGGTGGGCCCCCAGAGCCGCTATGGGGCAGCAGCAGAGTGGACGCGGCGCTCAGGACCAGAAGCTGAGGTTTTCGCCGGAATCCCAAGACAGGCTGAAGGCCGTTTTCCTTGACGCATCCATTGGAGACCCAAATACTTGCTTGGTCAAGGGTCTGCAGGTACGAATGCAGGTTATATTTAATCGGAGATCGCTGTTGCGGCATTATTTTGAAATCCACATGACCGGCGATCATTGCGGCATGTGCGCCTTCAAAGTAAACACGCTTGCGTTAAGACTGGCGTTAAAACTGTTCACCCGTGACGTGGCCTTCAGGCTGCCTGACGCGGCTCAGGCCCAGGCAGTCTGCAGCACTGAGCGCTGTCCATTGTTCTGGCCGCGCCCGAGCAAGCGTGACGTACCAGCGTCGTCAGCAGCCTGTAACGTGCCCGGCCGGCCGTCGGCAGGATCGGCTGTCGCGCGTGCTCCACCACACGATCGCCACGTGCCTCTGCCACCAAATGCAGCCGGACCGCTCCGGCCGCATCGACTACCAGTCCTACGTGTTCCTGGCCAACTCGCTGCTCAAGGCCACGCACGATGAGCGCAGTGCCCTGGTGGAGAGGCTGGCGCGCGGCGGACTCGGGCCAGGTGGAGCTGCTCGATCTGCGCCAGGTGAGCGGACTCGAGTCACACGAGTGGGTCCGCCGAGATGAGAGTCACGTGGGATAGCCTGTGGCGGCCCTGTTCACGTGGGTGCCACCCCGTCCCCTCCGAGGTTGGTGCCGTTTGAGTGACCCCATGGTGACTCGGGTAAGAAGGAGACCCGGTGGGATGCGGGTCAAGTGGGGTTACCTGACACAGACTACGTGGCAGTCGCCACGCGACGACTCGGGCCACGCGAGTGACCCGTTGTCGGCCCTGGGGCTGGGTCAGGGGATCTGGAGAGGGAGAAATAATGCGACTTGGTATGATGGAAGGCAAACGCGCTGAGTTTTGTGGTTAGGCTTGCTGGAAATGCCAAGGAAGTGTTGGTGACGAGAAGGGTAGGACGCAGCACGGACACCGAAGGGTGGGTAGCGACAGCCCGCGGCCTGGAAGCGGCTCTCCTGATAACCGACCCTCCCGCGGTGTCGCTGCTCACAGTACGTGGAGAAGATGATCCTGTCGTACCTGCAAGTGATTAAGCTGCCGACCAAGCCCAACATGGACAGCCTGGACCGGCTGACGGCGGCACTGCTCGGCGAGCTGCGCGAGAAGCAGGCCGCCAACGCGCTCACGCAGGCAAGAGCCTCCGCACGGGGCGGAGTCGGGCGCCGAGCTCAGGGCGCCGCCCGGCGCGTGTCCGTCGGAACCGCTGAAGCACCTGTGGCCGTGAGAAAGGTCCAGCGTTCCAGGGTGGCTGCTGCCGCCTGGTTTGTCCTGGGTGCTCTTTGTGTGGCCTGCTCCCGCGTCCGCCCCGACACTCCCTGCGTGAACCTCTGCCGTTTTCAATCCCTGTGGTTCTTGTGTAAAGCCGTGATTCGGTGTCCATCCTGCCCCCCCCCCCCCCCCTCCTCTTCCATCTGAGCGCTTCCTCTCCCGTCCGTCCGGGACACTCCCTATGTAACGCCCTGTCCCGTGTTTATCCCAGACACTGCCTGTGCAGCCCTGCTCCAGTCCCCGTGTTCGTCCCAGACACTGCCTGTGCAGCCCTGCTCCAGTCCCCGTGTTCGTCCCAGACACTGCCTGTGCAGCCCCGCTCCAGTCCCCGTGTTCGTCCCAGACACTGCCTGTGCAGCCCCGCTCCAGTCGCCGTGTTCGTCCCAGACACTGCCTGTGCAGCCCCGCCCCAGTCCCCGTGTTCGTCCCAGACACTGCCTGTGCAGCCCCGCTCCAGTCCCTGTGTTCGTCCCAGACACTGCCTGTGCAGCCCCGCTCCAGTCGCCGTGTTCGTCCCAGACACTGCCTGTGCAGCTCCGCTCCAGTCCCCGTGTTCGTCCCAGACACTGCCTGTGCAGCCCCGCTCCAGTCCCCGTGTTCGTCCCAGACACTGCCCGTGCAGCCCTCCCCCAGTCCCCGTTTCCGCCATTCCGGCGTAACACACCTTCTTTCCGTGTTCGTCACCGGTACTCCCTGTGTAACACACTCACCCGGGCACATCGTGCGTTTCTCGCTTCGTGCGTGCGGTAGGCTCTGACCTGCGCGCCGCACCGCCTCCGCCGGCAGGACGACATCGAGCGGTGGCTGATGCGCAGCCCGCTGTTCGCCGCCGTGCAGACCAACGTGTTCCGCTCGGCCTTCGACCTGGACATCCCGCACGACTACCAGCACATCCTACCGGCGGTGCGCGGCGCGCCGGCCGACCACGCCTCGCCGCTCGGGCCGCTCGAGCAGATGTTCGTCAACCACTCGCTGCCGATGGCGCGGCGCGACCAGTGGCGCCTGCTGTTCTCCACCGCCGTGCACGGCCAGAGCTTCAGGTGCGCCGGCGGCGCGCGCGGCGGCGGCGCTGCTGTCGTGAGCCGGTGTGGATGGTGGGGGCGGACGATGGCGAGGGGCTAGGATGGCGTTGTTTTGAGGACGAAACCCACCGCGGTGACCAAGCCCTGCCCGTGTGTCTTCGGTCGGTGACTTGTGGTTGAGAGGCGGCGGGAGATCCCGAGCAGTGGCGTTGTTGGTCGTGACGCCGCGTCACCGTGTGCTGTCGCTGCGGCCGCCGCTCGCCGGGCCGCCGTAGCGGTGCCTCACTCCTGCTGCCGGCGCGCGACTGGCGCCTGCCGGAGGCCGGCGCTGCGTTGGCGAAGGAGTTACCCGGGGGCATGACGAACTGCGACACGACGGCACCCACGCTTTCCACTCTGGCCGTTCGTGTGTGGCTGTAGGTGTGTGTGACGTGTGATGTCGCAGGTGATTGCGCCAGGTGAGTGATTTGCGCTTTGAAGAGTCAGCCTCAGGCATCAGCAGGTGAGCCGGCTGTGACGAAGACTCGTCTCCGGTGGCGGCAAATGACCGGCTCTCTGTCGGTTTCAGCAAGCTGGTGGGTCAGATCACCGACAAGGGCCCGTCGCTGGTGGTGGTGCGGGACACGGACGGCCACGTGTTTGGCGGGTTCGCGCCGGAGAGCTGGCACACCAGCGGCGGCTTCTACGGTGAGCACGCCAACCCGTCTCACACAGAGGGCTCTGTCCGGGAGAGCGTGCACCTGCTGATGTTGTGCAGCCAACACTGTTGTGATGCAGTGCCGCAGCCAACACTGCGAGCCTTTTGTGGTGCAGTGCCGCGCTAGTGAGCTACGGGGCTCGCGTCCTGATCGTTCTCAGCACTTTTACATGGAAGCATGTCGAGGGTTTTGACGCTATGCCATGCTTGTGATGTTCACGGCTTCAACATATCTCGTCTCTCGTGTTGAGTCATTCCTACGCCGTTTGTCGTACCGTTCCCCGACGGTTTTGGCTCGCTCGCCTGTCGTGCGGCCGCCGTCGCGCCGGCAGTGTTGTTAACTCGTCACAGCCTGCCGCCGGACCGACAACCTCTGGTCCCGACCCATTCACGCCCACGGTCGGGCCCGTGGCGGTACTTGAGCCTGTTGTGGCCGGCAGGCACGTCCGAGGCGTTCCTCTTCAGCGTCCGTCCGAAGATGGAGGTGTTCTTGCCGTCCGGATACAACGAGAACTACATGTACCTCAACGTCAACCAGCAGACGCTGCCCAACGGCCTGGTGAGGAGGCTGTCGCCGCCGGACCGCCCCGGCTCCGGCAGGGACGCGCCCGCTAACTGAGGCCGTTGTTACCATTTGATCTGTGGCGTCTGTGTGAGGCTGTTGGAGCATCTTGCTGACAATACCTCAGCCGCCAATGGTGCCTTAACTTCGTCACCAATGGTGCCTCACCTCCGCCACCATGGACCGTACCTCCGCCACCAATGGTGCATCACCTCCGTCATCATTGACCGTACCTCCGCCACCAATGTTGCCTCACCTCCGCCATCAATGGTACCTCACTCCGCCACCATGTACCGTACCTCAGTCATCAATGGTGCCTCACCTCCGCCATCAGTGATGCCTCACCTCCGCCACCAATGGTGCCTCACCTCCGCCATCAATGGTACCTGATCTCCGTCACCACTGACCGTACCTGCGCCACCAATGGTGTCTCACCTCCGCCACCATGGACCGTACCTCCGCCACCAATGGTGCCTCACCTCCGTCATCAATGGTACCTCACCTTCGTCACCACTGACCGTACCTCCGCCACCAATCGTGTCTCACCTCCGCCACCATGGACCGTACCTTCGCCACCAATGGTGCCTCACCTTTGCCATCAATGGTACCTCACCTCCGTCACTACTGACCGTATCTCCGCCACCAATGGTGCCTCACTTCCGCCACCACTGACCGTACCTCCGACACCAACGGTGTCTTAGCTCCGTTACCAGTGGTTCCTCACCTCCGTCACCACTGACGGGCGGCAGGTCTGCGTAGGTGGTCACGGGTGATGACGGCGGCGCCGTCTCCGCAGGGTTTCGGCGGCAAGTTCGAGTACTTTGGCCTGTTCATCAGCGGCGACTTCGGCGAGGGCTTCACGGCGCCCACCTGCACGACGTTCGACCTGCGCCAGATGTCGGGGCGCAAGCGCTTCCAGCTGGACGCGCTCGAAGTGTGGGCGGTCGGCCCCGAGCCTAAGAAGCAGGAGGCAGTCGGTAAGTGGAGCTGCTGACGGTCCCTGGCTGACGGCGTTGGCCTGGTAGCGGGGCTGGTGCCCCACCCCGTGAGGTGTGAGCGTGTGGTCCTTTGACGGTCGACCTGTATAAAAGCCCGGAAAAAATTTCCCCCTATGGGAGTAGATTCCCGAGTACCGAGGGTGGAACTGGAGAAGCGCCACACGAAGCCGGTACGTATGGAGTCGCGCACGAACAGGACTGGTGCTGCTGCGCGATACTTAAAAAAACAGCACAGTTTCGGCAGTTGGTTTCGGTCACGATAGATCCGTCCTCTTTCAGAAGAAACTTCCAGTTTCTTCGGGACGAAAGCTGCTACCGGATGAGGTAACGCAGCGGGCTGCTACCTGTTCCCTGCTACAATGTCTGCTGCCAAAGTTACTGTATGGGGTTTGTGCTGTGACCGAACCGTTTCGTCGTACATTGTACCGTTTGCCTTTATGAAAAACATTGATGCTGTCCTGCTATAAGGGAGCTTAGCATTTCCCTCCTGTCGCTGTGCTTATGTCGGGAAGACTACGGTTTGTGGCGTTGACGTTGGGGGAAAGACTGCTTGTCTCGAAGTACCCAACATTGTCAGAAAATCTCTCTCTTGCAGCCTGGATGCAGTAGAAGACGGGATGTGAGTCAGACATTGCTTCTCCTGCTAGGCCAGTTATGCATGCTGTCGAACATTCGAAGAGGCATGAACCGCATAACACCGTAGTTATTAAATATCTCGGTTGCGGAAATTTTAGGTGTCGGCATGTCCTTCTGGAACAGAAGCGATCATCCTTCTCGTATATAACCATGCACGTCAACGCAATCACTAATGAACGCTGCTTCGGAACCAATCGTGCATCTGCGTGATAAACATAATCGCTCCACTAGAACTATACATAATTTTCTTATTTGGTTGCGAATGCTTGTTTTTGCTCCGTGAAAGTAGCGCCAATATGTACTTACGTACTTGCGCACCAAACTGTACTTGTGTACCTACAAGGGCCTTGTTCGAACCCACGAGTGCGACAACTGTAAACCAAATGCCAACTAAATAGCAGCAACATGTCTTCCATGACGCTCTGCTTTCTGCGCATGAACGGTCACTGTTGCCAGGTCGGGAAATCGTATGACGTTATCGCCCCGGCAATCACGCTAGTCGTCAGGTCCAAATGTCGGCAGTCAAAACTCAAAAATGTAACTTTTGGCGTACCAGCATCCTTCCTCCTCTGTGAAGTTGTGTTTAACAGGTCTTTTGAGGGAGCTCTGCAGTTGCCGTCATTCCGCTGCTTTGGTTACGGACCCGCCTGGTATAAGTGCGCGCCTCCCGGGCTCGCCACGCCATCCCAGGCTTATCTACAAAACGCCAAATTGTAGCCCAGGAAATAAGCAAACGAAGCTGTGGACTCTCCAATGGTGGCATGCGACGACGCAGGCTGGAATAATGTTGAACACCTACCCCAGCTTGTTACTGTTAGCTATTCACGATACTGAACGCGTCAGCGACCGCATGCTGTAATGCACGAGTGAAAACGCGGAGTAACTTCGCTGCTCGAGGAAGAAATGTTCCACCTCAGAGCGTTGTGACGTGGGTCTGACGTCCGCGGTCGGATGCGCTTCTGCTCCCTCCCCGCGCCTTCCACACCCACCCAGCGGTAGCTCGGGAACAGTATGCTCGGCTAATGCATGGTGGGTGGGGCTCAAGGTCTGCTCGCTGTGTGTGCTGGGTTTGTCCCACTACAGCCGGCAGCAGAGATCGTAAGGTCATGGAATATGCAATATGGTCATGGAATATACGTACACTGTGAACTAAATCGTGCTAGCTAAAGTTTAAGAGCTCCTTAATTGGCCTGCGAAGCTGAATCTATTTATGGCTACACACTCCTTTGCGTGAGCGTGCCACATGTTTGTCACGCGCCCAGGTGGCCATTTGAATACTCTTCGCTCAGGTGGGGGGTCAATTTGACTCCCTGAGATCTCAAAAACTAAAAAGCTAGACACCGATTTCACAGGGTGTATTGGTCTTCACGTAAACTCACTTGTGTCAAAATTTGAGGCTCCTAGTTCATAAGCTTCGGGTCAGATGAGGTCTAAGAAGGTCAAACTACAGATTTGTGTCCAAAATTCCCCCAGAACCTAGACACCTGTTCTAAGCAAAGTCACTCGTGCTTATTTAGGGTTAGTGACCTTGTTTGACTTTTCGAATGTCATGGTCACTGAAATCATACAAGACTGCTTTAAGTTTTGCATTTGAATGAACGTCAAAGATTGCGCTAGGCAGTATGTTTTTAAAACAAAATGTTGACCTGGGTCAGTGTAGGTTAAATGACGTATTCTGGCCTTTAAAAGTTCATGGAATATTATAATGCGGTTCCCGTCGTCAATATATTCGATATGAGCACCAGAATTTACTCCATACAGCGAACTGTATTGTAAAAAAACAGGTCGGTTTTGACCTTGGTCTGACCTTCATACGTCGCCTTAAATCAACCAATACGATTTGTTTATTCAATTGTTGTATTTCCTAGGAAACTATCCCAGAGATGTATGGCTTCGTCCAACACCCTGTTGTTGCAATCAAATTGAACGATTCCCTAGAAGTTGTCTTCGCTGAATCCATGGCCTGACTTGGCCTGCCGTTGGACAGCGACCTTGCTATTGAGGATTTTGGACCGTGATAATGTGTACCCTTCACTGAGTAGATTATCAGGTTGGGTTAAGGAGTCTTCGTGGTGGAAGCCTTTTTGTGCCATCGTTTGTTTGAGCGACACTCATTTTAATATTCAATGCTCGTGTGCTTCGTAGCTACAGGTTATGCTGGCGACATGCCGTGGTATGACGGTGTTTTGCCTGTCTCTCTTGTAAGCACTGGCAACGTGGGACCTTGGGCTTTCGTCATAATTAGGCCGTTCTCGCTTGTTGACATCCGCAGTGCATGGAGCCAGTTTAAAGTGCATGAATGCTGGCGTCAATAGCGGGCTACATTAATGTCATGTTATGTCATTGCGAGTGAGCTGATCGGTCTGTTACAACGCGCGCTGTCGAGATTAACATCAGCTTTAGCAACACACATTGAATGAGTATTCAGTGCGCCCAACAGCACTGCTGGATTTTGGTAAAGAAAGTGGTGTTGTAAGGCCTCGATTTGGGTACGCGTATGGCTTGGTCTTCAACCCATTCTGTCCCGGGGGCCCTGTTCCACACGCTGGTCATCTTTGGGCTCCGTCTGACGCCGAGCCGGAGCTCTATCGGTGCGGGTGCCGCTGGCTATACCCGGCGAGCGGGCGACCGGAGACCTGACCCGACCCCCGTCGGCAGGACGGCCGGCCCAGCATTCTGGACGCTGACCCCGAGGGCGCCGCCATGCTGGAGATGGTCAAGGGTGGCATGCACAGCGACGGCCTGCGCGAGACGCCGACGGCCGACATACCCGCCGAGAAGAATCTACCGCCGATGTGAGCCGGACCGGACCGGAGCCGGACCGGAACGAACCGGATCGAACCGGACAGAACCGGACCGAATCGAACTGAACCGGCTCGAACCGGACAGGAGACAATCTGTGCCTGTCGACTCTGCATATAATCAACTTGACGCACAATGCGTTATCGTAGTGCGTGGGTAGCTGTGTGTGGTAAAGGTAAACGATCAGGTTTGTGTGTGCCATTGGTGATGACAGATTATGGGCTCACTATACGCGTGGCTGTATCTTGGACTCAAAACTAGTGTGCATTTTACTGGAAATCAAACCTGCAAAACTTGGGTTGAATGCTCACAAACTTCCTTTACCGGATGGCAAACTCTTCACTTACCGACGTGGCAAGAAAACCCGTTCGAATACATGCCCTATGACGCGTAAATTTAAACAGCTGTCTTCGGAATAATGGTGAATGTGAGGGATTTGCTACCCGGTAGGTTGTACAAATCTAGTGTGGACGTTCGACCCCTTTTTGCGGGATTGCTGTCCAATGAAGTGAACAAACATTATGCGCGTGTTTTTGAACATTCCTGACAGAGGTTGTGCGGGCGTGTGTGTAAATACGGTTGCGGACGTAGAATACTCGCATAGCGGATATTTCCACAAAGATGGCCATTGAATAGCAGTAGGGTGATGTTTGCACGTCTTCTTAAAATTGCTGCAAGCTACTTACACTGGCCACGCACAAGACTAGCTCTGTAGGACATGTGCGTGTGCATTCCTGAGGGTCGTGGTGGCGGCACGAGGTGTGCTGCCAAATGCTGCCGAAGACCCGGCCTGTTCACAGCGAGGAGCCGATCTAATCGGCTCTCTCACTGCGACCGTTAGTTTGAAGCGCCGCCTGCAGTGTCCTCGCACTTGCCGTCGTTGCGTCCTGTCCTGTGCTGTGCGGAGGCCTTCGGCCGTCGGTGCGCTCGCGCCGTGTCTCTCGGAACACGTGTCTAACACAGTTTGCGCGCCGCGCTGTGCGACTGTTAGGGGTCGCTGATATTACAACAGGTTGTGGTCTTCAATCGGTGCAATACCCCGGATGATCCACCAAAAGTCGCCGCTGGTGAAGGTTTTGTCTTTGGCACGGTATGTGCAGTTCGCGAGGTGACCTGTTCGTTGGTGCGGTGCCACGTTTTGCTCACACGTTTCGAAAGTTTTTTATGGGAACGGCTGCTGTGGAAGTGGTTTGCAGTGTTTGCTATCGGCAGTATATTCGTGCACCACGTGTCAGCTGAGCAGAATTTGGCACTTATCCAAGAACGGGCCACGCTTATGTGCAATCGTTTCGTTTTTTCCGGGCTATGCTCAAGAATTCAGCGGCGCCATCCGTGTTAAGTACACACGATGTGTTTGTTTAGGGCTTTAAGTATCATGAGAGTACGCACGGTCCGACATAGACAGATCAAACGTCGTGGCAACATGCTGGGCGGTTTGAGTCCTGTTAGTACAGCGACCACGCGGCTTTTATTACTCGATTGCGGGGTGCTTAAACCAGCTGCACACGTTAACGAAATACGGGTAATTCTGCTTCAAGCTTCTTCCTATCTAAAGTGCTTTCCTTATTTCTATTTCTGGTGTGTTTCTGTGCTTTCTATTCTTTCTATTGCTTTAGTGTGTTTGCGTAATTGGATGTTTAGCCTTCATTTATCCAGACGTGTTGTGACGGAGATGGAGACGTATACCCAATAAACTAGTGGATATATAATGCAGTGTATGCAGCGTCACAGTGCTGTATGCTACTTAAGAGCTAATTTATGAATTAGGTCCACGTCCGGCGACGTGAGTTACGCCGGTTAAGCGAGTCACCGTGGGCTACAGAAACGGTGCACTGTAGACCACCGAAGCACACACTACACAGGGGTCATTCGAAGACGAGAATATACAGGAATCGGGACGGAAGGAAATAATTTATGCCGAAATTCGACTTGTGTGCCACGACGAGACTGCAGCGGAGAAGAATCACATATTTTGTTGGAATCGCAGCACTCTAAATGCTATTTCACGTTTTCCGCACCAAATAACCGGCTTCCTTCCAGGAAATCTGTCGAGTCCAGGCCGAAGCAACAAACAGCTGGGTTCACGAGAGAACGGTGGGTGATGCATGCCAATTGCCGTGTGATTCTCTGTACGGCTTACGCTAGAGCCCGCGACACTTAACACCGGAGATGTGGGTACAGCTCGCTGGAGGAGTCCGAGCAGGCGGGCTGGGCTGGGGCTCGGTGGGGCAGAAGTAACGGATCGCAGTCACCAGACACCGGCCGTGGGTGTAGCATTATCGCCTGGCTTCTCAGGTTTCTGTGCTCATGCGCCGCTCCGAGTGCAGCACACAGCAGTGGCTGTCATGGCGATGGTGACGGTTGGGGAGTACGTGAAGCGTGTGCATGCCTTTGTTGGGGCACGTGTGCATGCCTTTCTTGCGGCACGTGTGCATGCCTTTGTTGGGGCACGTATGCATGCCTTTCTTGCGGCACGCGTGCATGCCTTTGTTGGGGCACGTGTACATGCCTTTGTTGCGGCACGTGTGCATGCCTTTGTTGGGGAACGTGGTGTAAATTCCGGTCGAGAAGACGATCCTGAGCGTTATCTGAACCCACGTGAACTATGTCCTGGGATCACGTACATTATTAGCTGGCAAATGGTAAAGCCAGAAGGGCCGCATAGCCACTTAGGCAGCGGATGATACAGTTCTCACTTGGTCGAGGTCGCGAATATCCCAGAGGACGCTGTAGAGCAGTGGGTTGCGATTATTGGCCGCTTGCGGAAGCCATCACCGATGCTGTCAATTGTGAGCGCAAGAAAGCGGGAAGCCTAGAAAAGACTGTGACTGCAGTTTATTGGTGTTTTAAGGCGCATCGACTATAATGGCCATTTTGCGCCCAAAAGACGCACTGTTTGAGGGAAGCATGCTTCAACTTAGGGTTTTTAGGCCATTAAAAATCACGGAGTCTTACAAATGGACACAGATTTGGAGGTTGAAAAGCCGAGAACTTACTATTGGTGATGGTCTTGGTTAAAATAATGAGCCTTCTTAGAAAGCCTTCAGCGAGGTGATCTAATGAGCCTTCTTAGAAAGCCTTCAGCGATGTGATGTAATGCGTGGCGATCGTGCCGCTATCGGTATGCAAACAAAGCCAGCTGAGTAAAACTCACCGTCCAGAGACCAGGACACCGCCGACGAATACCTGTATCCTTGAAAACTTTTCATATCTATGCCCGAGGAATATTGGGCGCGCTATCGAGCCTCATGCATTAGCTGCAGCCGACGCGGGCGCGTATGGGCGCACCCTCCCTAGCATGCTGTGGTGTAATGGGAACAATGCATTCATTACACTGTGGCAGTATCCAATACCCACCCACCAGCATTGCCTTCTTATAAGTGATTGCCGTCCATGAATTACGTTGAACTGCTGCCGAGATTGCCGGTAAGGCCACTCCCATTTGCATCTGGTCACTGGCGGATAGCTTCCTCGCGCCGTCTGCTGACCATGCCCGCAAGCCCGACTGCTAGGTACTGTCACGGTAATCCCCGAACCCTGGGTAAGGTCACGGTAATCCCCGACTGCTGGATACCGTCGTGGTAATCCCTGACTGCTGGGCACCGTCACGGTAATCCCCGACTGCTGGATGTCGTTACGGTAATCCCCGACCGCTGGATGCCGTTACGGTAATCCCCGACTCTTGGATATCGTGACGGCAATCCCCGACTGCTGGTTGTCGTTGCTGTAATCCCCGACTGCTGGGTAAAGTCAGAGTAATCCCCGACAGCTGGACATCGCCACGGTGATCCCCGACTGCTGGATGTCGTTACGGTAATCCCTGGGTGCTGGATGTCGTTACGGCAATCCCCGACTGCTGGATACGGTAATAAAAATAAAAAAGGTAAAAAAAAATGTCGTTACGGTAATCCCTGACTGCTGGATATCGTTACGGTAATCCCCGCCCGCCGGATGTCGTCACGGTAATCCCTGGCCGCTGGATGTCGTCACGGTAATTGCCGACGGCTGGATAAAGTCACAGTAATCCCAGACTGTCGGATATTGTTACGATTATCTCCTGCCGAGCAAGTCTGGTGGCTTCGGCTTATTTGCATATGCGGTGCTCAGCACAAACTCAATTTGTATCCATATGGCTTGTTAAGATAAGAATGGAAGTAGGGCAAGGCTGTGTACGGTGATCATGTCAGCAATGAAATTACCCAGCTCTAGCTAAGGTACAGGCAGTTACAGTTACTAGCCACTCTTAGTACGTTGCTTAAACCACGGTGTTGCTAATGAAATGACAGGACAAAATTATACCACCTATCAGCAGTCACTAGACCACCCAACTAAACACGCACTTAACGGGGGCGCTGTGACGCCAGACCGAGCTTGCGTGCAAAAAAAGCGTGATGTTAAACCTAATGATTGTAAGATGAGCCGCGTTAACCACTGCATGTCTGGAGAACCAGAGGTGCGGGGTTCGATTCCCCGCGGTGCCCGCCCTTCCTGCCAAGGTGGAAGGCAGGCGAAGCCATGTAGTCTCAATAGCTGAGTGCGTCGTAAAGCCCCAATGGCAATGGGTGTAAGATGAGGTGCTCACGAGTCGGACTATGTCACGGGTCGAAACTGCGAGCGAGACATCGAGGCATTTCAAGCGTTTCTTTTCATGTGACGAGGTGCGTTCGTCCCGCATTCCTTCAAGGTTGCTTTGAGAGCAATCGTTCCTCCGACCTTAATAAAGCTGACGCCCATTACGGATGTGTTGCTCCGTTCTAAGCTTCGTCCCTCCATGCAACTCAATCGGTTGAAGAGTCTGCCTCCCACTTCACCAGCGGCGGGGTGGATGGGCTTGGGTCGCTTCGGCGCTCGCTATTCTTCCCCCACTGGGATAGTGTGCGGCCGGAAGCAGCGGCTGCTCAAGGTCAGATAAGGTCAAAGGGCGGGGTGGACTACGCCGAGCCTTGCGATACGTTTAACTGTCGTCCATCGAAACCTGCGACCTGTTTTGTCTACCGAAGTGAGTTAGAGATCCTTCGTCCTTAAAAGACAGGGAAAGACAAATGGTGTTTTACTGAGTGAATGAGAGGAGTGACGTTCTGGATAAGACTGTCGCCGTCCAGGGTTATCCCAAACCACAGTACTCGTCGTGTACAGGAAATGCTTCGTGTTGTACGGGCGGGTTCGTATGTTGTCCAGACGGGACTGTCATGACCTTAGCAGCCGTTTGGGTCAGCTCGTGACTCGCCAGCCGCGGGTACTCCCGGTGAGAAGAAACAGTGCGAGGTCGAGGATGAGGCGGCGAAAGTAGATAGGGGGACGGGTTGTGTCCGGAAGAGCCTGGTTTGGTTAGATGAGAGCTTTTTCTGACTGAAAACCCTAACCACCATCTGCTACTTTTATCAATGGGAATATGGAACAATGCTTTAGGCTGGGAAACATTGCGGCCATCCTAAGTCATCGCTGTTACCGAAATTTACCTTGTACGGAGACGCTACGTCGAGGCGTGTGCGGGTGCTCAGACGTGACTCCTACCCGATGCGATTGCGGGGCTGATCAACGACTGACAGCCGTAGCGTGCTACCTCTGAGAGGAGGAGTTGCCAAGATACGGCTTGATACGATGCATGTGAAGAGGGGGGTTGACCATCAAAAATCCCACTGATAATTGCTGTATTCGGTGCCACGAGCGCCCGTTTGTTTGGTCAATCGACTGCAATTCACGGGGAATTTTCTGAGATGCGGTTTTGCACTGCTATGGGCCTGCTTGATATGTAGAACACCATAGTCATTCTCAATCCACATAGCCCTCGGCACGCTTTCTGTCGACCGGCATCTGCTGTTCGCGTCCCAGGACGATATTGCCGGCGCCGCAGCAGCTGCGCCGCGCGCCAGCCGCTGCTGCCATCTGTGGAGCCGGCCATCAACTATTCTGGGCGGCGGCTTCCCGCGTCGCAGTCGCCACTCTGGCCGGTCGGCGGTGGCAGCGGTCGCCCTGGTCCGTGCGCTGTTGACGGGTGCGTGACGAGCGGTGTTGAGATGTGGACCTGGCGGTGTGTCGTGCTGGCGGTCTGCCTCGCCGCCAGCCAGGCCAAGAGCGTGAACGAGCTGATGGCGGAGCGTCCAGAGCTGTCCGAGGTGAGGTGGCGGACGAGCACGCGCCGACGCGCGTGCTCGGCTTTGGATTGCTTTGCTGTGGGTGACCCACTGGCCTTGAGAGACTCAACGGCAGAGCCGCTGCGGTAGGCTCGTGGAACACATGGTCGCAATCACGAAGAGCGGGGATTAGTTGAGCTGATTCTTGCTGGATCGCCGCCACACCTGTCTGATTCAGATCAAGTGCTCCGTTTTAGGACGAACGTTTCAAACGGCCGGGCTCGCGGGGGAATGCAAGCATCTGCTTGCCTGCTTTTCCGCCACTGGCCGAGCAAAATAACGATCGCGAATGCGATATGAATGTTGAGTGAGCGGCTCTGTTATAAACTAGCCTCACCCGGTGGTCACGTGACTTGCCTAGGCGAGATTTGAACAGGCCAGAATCACGACTGGACTTAATTGTTTTGTTTTAAATCTGTACCCGTCACTGACTCGAGGTCCACCGGAGAAGATCAGCATTGAGTCATGTCTACAAGAACTGCTATGACTTCCCTAATGGATGCGACTCTGCAACAGCCCGCTGCCGCGCCCCGACAGCGGGCTGCTGTTTTCACCAGCGTACCAACGGCCGCAATTACTGTGACCCGTCTCGAGCTGAGACGGAATCGACCTTTGCGGCCTCGTCGACATGATGAGTTTTCATTATGGCTGTGGTTTCGTCTTAAAGTTCACCTTGAACTGGTATATCTTCAAGCGCTGCTCTTTGTCATGAAGGCGATATTCATGAAAGTGGAAAAGACTAGTTTTGCTGCCACTAAACGACTGTCATCAGGTCAATTTCGGGATAAGCAATGATTAGCGCGGGAGATGGGAGAAAATGTACGCAGAAGTTATGCTTCTATTCTGGCGCGATTTATGTGTCTATATTAAGTTCAGTTCATCTTTCAGCATCTATGCATCGTTACGACCGAAGAAATGTCTCAGATGGATCAATCTCTTACTGGTTCGAGGTATTTTAGGTTGAAAACATGCTGCTTAGAATTGGAGTTCTCTACTTGCTGTCGGCGAATTTTATTATAAAAATCCTTTCTTGGCCCAATGCTTGGTCCGTCCCGGTGACTCAGTTTGTTAGCGCGCCTGCATTCCGATCCACCCACCCGTGGTGGGGTGGGTTCGAGTCGCTTTGGGGCGCTCGCTAGGTGTGGCCTGCGGCCGGTGGCAGCGGTCTCGCTAAAGGTCAGTTGACGTCAGAGGGCAGGACGGACCGTGCCGAGCATTGCGGTACGTTAAGCTTTCGCCATTAAATCTGCCGTTGCCTGGAATTGCGCGATCGGATGGTGGGGTTCAGGGCTCACACAACAAGCAGGGCTTAGCGTGAGCGCTGATCCCAGAAATCCATCCATCGAAATGGTTCGGAACAAATTTATAAAAACAAATATCTTCGACGCCCAATGACCAGTCAGGTGCACGATATCTCTTAGAGCAGGAACAAAGCCGTTGCCGGCAGCAAAAAGCTTTCCTCATTCTGATCGGGTCCTGTATGGACTCCACCGATGCAATGACTTCTTACCGCGGCTCCTATTGGCCGTTACTGCGCCGCATTTCGACGTGGCGAGTTGCCGAGAGGCGACCACTGACGTGAGACGTGAGGCGGCGTGAGGCGGCGTGAGGCACGGTACGAAGCGTGACGACCGACTGTGACCGCTTCCGCGGCCAATGTCACGCCTCGCGTTCGAACGAGCCGCGGCAGCCCATCCCAATGGCAGTAACCGCCTCCGCCCCTCACGTAACCTTGGTCTTCCCTCGGCCATTTGTGTCCTACTAGGGACTGCTGGCGCACGGTTCTGGTGAGCACTGATGCCGGGTGATAATTTGGGGCTGGTAGTGAGAAAACTGTTATGTCAACTGGATGTCTGCGTCATCGAATGCTTTAATCTTTCATAAATTAGAGGGCGCGCCCATGAGATTCCGTTTTCTATGCCAGAAAGCTACCCATCTACGCACTCGTTTATGCCACGCATGCACCGAATCGCCAACCACGGTCCGCGCCTGAGCAGAGGCCGGCGGCCATCCGCTACTCCCGAGAGGGCCGCTGACATATGAGCTGGGCTCTGCGGCCGAGACGGCGCGTCGGCCTGTGCCGGCCGCCCCCGGCCGGCACCGTTACCGCGCCGTCGGACGGGCGCGGCCGCGGCGCCACCGCCGCCGCTGCGCCGCCGCCGTCGCAGCCGGGCCAGCCCTCCGGCGCCGGCCGTCGGCGACTGGCGCCCTCACACGGCCACGCCGCGTCTGGCCGCGGCCACTCGGGCTGGCAGATTGCCCAAATTTACTACCGTCGGTTTTGTCCATAAATTTCACGAAGCGAGTTAGGGATGAAGGCAAAATCCAGCTGAGAGTCGCTGCCGAGTGTCGGTCTAAGGGCTCGGGGGCCTATGGTGTTTGTGTGCGGTGGGCGTGGCTGGAGAAGGCCGTGTGTCAGGTGCGACGGCAGCCACATCAACCGCAGCGAAATTTCCAAGTTCAATTTTTGTCCGGTGCACGTTTTGGCAGGCTCGCCACGCCGTCTTTTCCGTCATTCTCCCACCGTGCCAATGGGAATCGGTGCACAGTTGGCGGTATGGCGCCGATAGTCTGCTCGTGGTTCGCGTGACCCGCATGCTCAGTCGACAGCGCAGGGTAGCAACCGTCCGCAGTGCCGTGTTTGTCAGAAAATCGAGTCATTTGGAACATTTGTGGTCACTCTGTACATCGCTATCCAACGTTCAGGAAGGATTTCAGCCCACAGGCTACACGCTTCAACCAAGTTGATGTGTAACACCGCTCACTTTACCCTGATGCGCGTGAGAGCTGCGGCTGGACGCACTTGAAAGCGCCGCTTGAGAGTGGCCACTGGTTATCGATCGACTTGTCCGGGTCTCAAATGGTCTACTCGATCTCCGGAATATCAGCAAAACTCCTAACGCGTCTGCCTTCCTGACTGCCCTCAAATTTGGGAAGCGGATATCGGGTGATTTCCAGTGTTTTATGCATGGCTTTCCGGGACATTCGCCGAGCGAGTTCGCCTGCGCGGTGCCTGTGTCGGAGCGCTGCCGGAGCCTCATCGCTCCACTGCGGCCTGACGCGGTGCCGCACCAGTCCAGGCCAGGTTATATGCCTGTGTCGGGCCGCTGCCGGAGCCTCATCGCTCCACTGCGGCCTGACGCGGTGCCGCACCAGTCCAGGCCAGGTTATAAGCCGGTGTCAGTCCCCTCCCGGCGCCGGCGGCCGTCACATGGCCGCCCCCCCCCCCCTCCCCCCTCTGGACGATCAATAGCCTGCGGGCGCCGTGCAGCGCGCCGACCGGACAGGGAGCGACTTCACGTGGCTGCGGGACAGGACAGGGGAATGATTTCATATGGCTGGGCGGCCAGGCGGGGGAGCGACTTTATGTGGCTGAGCACCAGGGCAGCGGAACGACTCCATGTGGCCACCTTCCTTTCCCTGCTGTCGATGATCAAAACGACTACCGGTCGAGGAAATGAAGAATTGCGCACCCCTGTCCACTATATATAACAGCATGCTTGGGTGCCGGCGATGTACTAGCGAAACGCTCTCAGTCCGTGTAACACAAATATGCGTAATTAGATCTACTGCGCAGGTACAGCTCGACTGGCTCATACACCTCTATCTTCGTAGTTGTGTAACGACACAATGCCGTGGCATTCTTCCGCTTCCGCAGCCGTGGCAAGTGTATGCGGGAGCACATTCTGTCAACTAATCTTTTTAATGCCTGGTTACTAATCAAACGTTCTTGTCCATACTTTTTGTAGGGTCTAGAGAACGTCTACTGCCTTTTCAAAATAAAGTTTGATACATTGTTAGACATTATATCAGATTATTCCCCATTATTAGACACACTTGATGAGAGAACGGCAAACTGATTTCCAGGTTAGATGAACCAAACCGGGGGAAAGGTCATTGGACTGGCCGGTATCAGAGCGATATCTTCCTGACTCAGTGTCAGTGTCAGTGTCAAACGTCTGGGCTCGTCCAGTGACGGCGCATTTATAATGGACGTGCGATCCAAAGTCAAAATCCTCGGGGAACTGGCGAAACAGCCATAACACTTAACGACCCAGTCGTGCGAATGCACGTGGAGACAACTCCTTGATATCTGCGCGAAGCGATAATTGTGTAATGACAGCAACGCTCAGCTCACAACGCGTGGCGCCATTTGGCCCGGTCGGGATACACGCCGTGCAACAAGACGGCGCCGGCGGCCGAGCTGCCGTCGCCGCAGCGCGACAGCGTGCGAGATATCATTACGGCCTCTGCGCGTGCCGACCGCGGGACCGTCGATCGGATCACGCGATAGTGATGTGAGCGACGTTGACGTAATCACCTTTTGAGCGGCTCCCCACCATGGCTGTCGCCCCGCCCCTCTCCCGCCGATACTGTCACTCCGGACAGAACGCACTGCCGGCTGCGTCGCCATTATAGTGGGGTAGCGCCGGCGGTGCTGTCCCGGCACGGCCCCCTGGCTCAGTGATCACGTCATTCCGGCAGGGCGCACGGCCGTTAGTGTTGCCGTTATGGCGGGCTGGCTCTGGTGATATTGTTGTCCTGACAGGACCCCTGTGGATGGTCACGCGGTCTGTGTTGTCTGTGCGGTCCTGCCCATCTCCCTCGGATGAGTGGCCCGGTGTTGACGGACGGTTAGTTATCGTCGATCTCTGCGCCCGAACGCAGCGCAATCACCATACAGCGCAAGGAAATAACATCAGACAGCGTCCTAATGCGACAAAATGACTCAGAAATGGCTCAGAATTGAGCGACAAGCTCAGGATCTGAACGGCTTCACGAAACACATGTTCTGCATAGACATGCCATTGAAGACCTGGGTGTCACGCTGATCGATGCTTCTTCTTCCACGCAACGATCGTTGTGACTGATGCTAGCAAGCGTGGCAGCGGCGTACGCCAAGGACAATCAAACGCATGCTTTCACGTGAGCGGAATGTGAGTGAAGAGACGGAGGCGGACATCCCCTCGCCTGTATTGTGC